TCCTGGGCGTGGGTGAGTCCCCGGGACGGCACCTTGGCTGGGGCTGGAGATGTGTGTGCCCGAAGAGCCTCCCGCTGGGCTCGCGGCTCCGCGACTTTAACAAAGCGGTGTCATGATTCCGCACTTTGCGAGATGTGGTTGGTTCTTCCATATGTTCCCTGGGAATTTCTTTCTTCTACTACAAACTGCAGCTTGGTCTCCGTATGTGCCCCTGCAGATATCCCAATGTCCGTGGGCATCATTGACCCTAGAGCAAACCCAACCCAGCTCAACACCGTGGAGTTCCTGTGGGATCCTTCCAAGAGGACCTCTGTGTTTATCCAGGTAAAAGAGAAGTGGGGAAACAACTGCTGCAGGGATTTAGGGGGAAAAAAATAAGTTTTCTGACAGGGAAGGAGATGCTTTTTTGACTCAGAGCTTTGAAATAGCAGCCAGATGCTGCAGCGGTAGAAGGGCGTCAACTGAAATCCAGCCCAGTTCCCTCGAGCAGCGTAGGAGAGCAGCAGTTCATGCCTTAGCAAGGCACACACACCGTTGGCCACCAATAAGTTGTTTGACACGTTTCTGTGATGGTTTAAGTCCTGCTGGTTTTGTGGTCTGGGTCTCCATCTTGCTGAGATGCTTTGACACATCTCAACAGCTGCCTCAACCCCAAACACCTCGTGGAAGCCTGGCCCCCCTGCGTGGAGGCCGGGCAGCCTAACCCCTGCTCTGCTGATCCAGGGCTGGCTCCTGACATGAAGAGGTTTCAAAATTTGTTGGAAGAATGTGGCTCCACCTCTGCTGTGGCATCTGCTTAACCCCTTAATGCTGGGGGTCCTTGGGGTGGTCCCATCCCCGCTCTGTATTTCGTCCTCACCAGGCTGCCCTTTACGTGAGCGCAGTCATGGCTCCTGCGAGGGGAACGGGCGGTTTGTGGTCAGTCGGACGCAGCAGAAGGGCTGAGGGCAGGATGCCTCTCCTCCCCCAGGTTCACTGCATCAGCACAGAGTTCACCATGCGGAAGCACGGAGGAGAGAAGGGGGTCCCCTTCCGCGTCCAGATAGACACCTTCAAGGAGAACGAAAACGGGGAGTACACGGAGCACCTGCACTCCGCCAGCTGCCAGATCAAAGTCTTCAAGGTACCTCGGCCCGTGGGGCAGACGTGCGTCCGACGTGTCCTTCCCCTGCTAGGAAACAAACTGGGAGTCGGTCCCAGTTCACGCTGCGGCCCCAGTGAGCATCACGGGTGCAGGACGGGGGCTGAGCTAGCCAGCGAAAGGGCCTCTTGGTCCTTCTGGTCTCGCATCGTCGCTCTCCCTGGTTCCTCTCTGTCGATCGAGTCTGGATGCCATTGAGGCTACAAAACCAGTAAGCTGAGAACAACATACAGGGAGAACACGGGTTGTGTCGCCTCAGTCTGAAACCTCCCATGTTTAGTCCTGAGTCTTATCACCTTGGGAGATCCCCCGGGCGCTTTGGTGTCTGTCTGAATTCTTTGCTTTATTATTACCTGTTGCTGCTGGTGCGTCTGCATCCGGCCTCTCCAGCGGCGCAGGCGTCTGGTCCCTGTTATGCATCGCTTGCAGAAGCCCAAAGCCACGACCCGGCAGTGGCAGCGGTGACCCAACGGTGCGCGATGGTGTGAGCGGCTGAGAAGGGTCGTTCCCGCGGCAGCACCCGGGTGTCGTGCTGCAGGGACAGCTGCGCAGGGAGTCCGCTACGCTGAGGTTGCCTGTTACCTCGTCCTCCCCGTAACACCCCACAAAATCTTGTCGGTGACGTTTCTCCTCGAGGGGCACTTGCCACGCAGCAGGGCTGGTCCCTGGCCGGGTGCCTGGGCTGCTTTGCAGTTCTGCCGTGAAGCTGCTGCGGGATATCAGGCAGCGTGCCCTGCTGCTGTTGACTTGGCATCTTTCCCCTTCTCTCTTTTCTCTTTTGCCTCTTTGGATCATAACATTTTGGAGGCAGGGGTGTGATTTGTTCAGGCTTGTTGGAGCTCTGGCTGGTATCTGCACGCAGACGGCCCGAGCGGGTGGCTGCAGGGTTGGGAGTGAAGGGATACGGCTGGTCGCCAGCAAGCGCCCGGAGGATAGCGGGATGGCGAGGCGCCTG